TCTACTATCTACTCCTCTCCCTCCACCCCTCTCCGAACTCTCACTTTCAACTGACGACCCTCCTCGCTTCTCCCACCTCTCTCACCCCAAACCCTCCCTAATTACTTCATTCTTCATCTCTTCCCTTTTGTTTCTTGAGGTTATCTTGAGATGATTTCGGGGCTTTAGTGTCCCCGCGGCCCGGTCCTCGACCAGGCCTCCACCCCCAGGAAGCAGCCCGTGACAGCTGACCAACACCCAGGTACCTATTTTACTGCTAGGTAACAGGGGCATAGGGTGAAAGAAACTCTGCCCATTGTTTCTCGCCGGCGCCTGGGATCGAACCCAGGACCACAGGATCACAAGTCCAGCGTGCTGTCCGCTTGGCCGACCGGCTCCCTGTTTCTCTTATACGTTTGTGGCAATGAAATGTGTTCTAGAGTTCTTTCTAGAGTTTCGGGTAGCTGATCAAGTTACGACACCTTGTAGTCCCAGCACCTAGGTAGTCGAATACCTAGGTTACAAGGTGTTGAACAAGAGAGGCTGCCGAAGGAACTCTGGGGGTGCTCTAGAACAGTTAGCTAACTGAGGGCGGGATAACGGACTAAAGAGAGCTGTTTTCCCCGGCCTCGTTAGTTAATATTCGCGAGTTAGCTAGTTTTTTCAGGTTAGGAGATAGTGATTCTCTGGCGTTGTGTTCTAGTGATTTTGTGAGTTTTGTGAAGTTTATGGACTGTTCACCAGAACTTGCGTGTGTAGTGATTTATGTTAGGGATAATATTTGGTGATTTGGGAACTTAGCAGCTGGTGGTAGTGCAGGTCAGATGAGTGTGACAGGTGACCTCGCATGTCCCTGGGGGACACCCAGCCTCCGCTGGTTGCCAGGTCAGTTGGGGAGTGGCAGGTGTAGTTCTTAAGTAGTTTTAAGTGGTGGTTCTGCTCAAGTTGTTGCGATCGACTGTTTTACTCCATCTGAACGCAATAACCCGAGGTGTACTGGTATTGTACAGCATACTAGGGGGAGGCTTAGTATGTCAGTAGACTTCACGTTGGGGATGCTCGACGGTAGATAGTCTGGTCACAGGGGTGGCAAAAGTTTGGAGTTGTGGACCCGCGGAGAAGCGAGGGAAACACTCTAGGTCACGTAGGTGGCTGTAGGTTAAGGGTGGGAGTAACGGCTATTTAAGTATGTAAGATTAGGAACGGTATAGTTAACACTTTCGCGCTCTCGGCGCTCAAAAAAAAACAATTCCCCAGATGCTTTCGGCACTTCGCGCTCCTACGCGGTAAGACCGAAAAAGTGTACACTCTTTTGACTGTCCTGACAATAATTGAAGGCGCACGTATTTAAATTTGGTATCACTGTTTTCGCAATGAAATTGTCTATAAGAGCATAGCTATAAAATGCCGCCCAAGCATAAGGAGTATCAACACCAAATAAAAAACTATGCAGATCACTCGCCGAGAGCGCCAAACAGCAACAAAATGTTTCCACTCTCTTAATGGTTGCAAAGCCTACAGTTGTCCTTCATCGCTAATGTTGGTATCATTGGAATCGCAATAAAATTCTCTACACGGACATATGCATATGAATGTTTAATATAGGTAATTGCCCACCCGGAAGAGTGTGTGAAGTGGAGAGTAGTTAGCCACGAGCGCACTGGCGAAAACACGGGGGGGGGGAAATCATGCTTGGAAAGTTTATACGTTTCCTGACCCTACTTTTCTATGTACGTATTTCTCTTTTATACCAATGTGTTCGCAATAAAATTTTCTATAAGATGAACTGTATAACATTTGTACAAAGCATGTGTAAGAGAAGCGCCAAATATAGAACCACGTCGCTCAGTATGCGTTCGCGGCAGAAACGAACGCATTGTTTTCGTTCGTTTGATGTTTGTCATGTTTATACTTGTTGAAACATTTTATAATTTGTATGACAGTGATCGCAGTAAAATTCCCTACACAGACATATACAAAACACATACAAATATTTCCCACGTGTTGGATATATCAACGGCTAAAGGGAACCCACTGCCACACGCTCGCCACACCCCCAAACATACTTTGTGTATTTTTTTTTTTTACTCATAGAAGTTTGTGATATAATATTCATTCTGGTACCAAAACATTCGCAAATAAATTCTCTACAAAACAAAAGTATCCCCATCCATTTCGGTTAAAAAATGGAATTTATAGAAATATTTTTTCGATGGACGAGAAAAGTAGGCTGTTATGCGGAATCGTAAGAGAAAACGGCGACGAGTTATCTCTAATATAAAGCGCGAAAGTGTTAAGTTAGGCTAGTATTTTGTCTATTAGTATTTATATTTTTTGTTGAGGTTGTTTTAGGTGACAAGTTAAAAGTAGTGACGACCTTATTCTCTCTTCTCTAACTTTACTCTGGTACTGTTTTATGTTCCACCAAGTTAATATCGTTCAGTGTTAATTGGATTATTAAAATTTAAGTGTAGTTGTTGCCAGGAGGAGAGCATTATGATTGGACTGTGTGAACCCTATACAAACTACAGGGTCACACAACATGTTGGAACACGGGTATTGTTGCCTTATATGTTCATTCCCAGGTTGGAGCCAGAGGAGAGGCGCGCACGTACAGAAGAGGGAGACGGCTGCTTTGTACCACACTAGCGAGCGTTTATCACCACCACCACGACCAGCCCCCTACCTGGATGTCATGGCTCCACCACCACCACCACCACCACCACCCCGGGGGACCCCAAAACGCAGCCTCTCGGTCGGTCAACATTGGACCCCAGGACAGACTAACCCCAGTGGACCCCAAGACGGACGGACCCCCAGTGGACCCCAGGTCGTTCTGCACACGACCCCAGACAACCCAGTAAAGATGGAAGAGGAGCAAAAATGACTCCAGTCTGTCCTACCAACATTGGTCTACCCAGGATGGACCCCAGGACGGACGGACCCTAATGTGCTTTACGCATTAAGGACCGCATTAAGTGTTACGCGAGTGCGAAAGTGTCAATAAGGTGTTCATATTTATTTTTATACAAATGGCAATAGACCCAAAATTCAGTTTTTGCTTCTTTTCAGTTCAGTAATTTATTCTCTACTGTTTGACAGGCGATTTCTCTGAAACATTTCTACGTTTGAGGATGAAGCCACATCAATCATCATTTAGTTGCAGGGTACTGTGCAATAATTACTCATCTAAGAGTAGTGAAATATTTTACAGTTTCATTTTAGTCAAACCAAAGATTTTGTAATTTCATTTAAGGGAATTCCATTTGCGGGGAATTTTAAGTTTCAAATTAGATATAGAATTACAGTAATGATTTTGTTAATGTGAAATTTTGAGTAAAAAACAAAAAAAATCCTCCTAATATGCTAGGATATTCAAGAAATTTCAAATGTATGACTGAAATGATTTTGAAAGGTCGCAATTTTCAGTTATCAATATTTTTGTCTCAATATTTCATTATCAATTTTTCTTTTCAGGTTACAATGGTGAAAAGTTGACTGGAAGGTCGTCCTCTTATTGCTTAAATTCTTTCAGTAAAGATTCAAGAAAATATATTTATTTATTGTACCCGATAAGAGTAAACATGTCTTGGGTGCCTTAACAAAGTTCTTCACTGTAACATTTATTTCCTATCTCTTTCTCACGTAAATATAAATTTTGGGACAATGCAATTTCCTTCCACCTTCTCCGAATTCTGCTATTATACGCAAGTGCCAACTGCTACACTCAGGTGATTTGCATACCCATTGAATAAATTTCTTGTGAAAATAATTAATGCTAATTCAGGCCTTCAACATTAATAGGCACCTGAAAAAGCCTAAAGAAGACTTTAAATAAACTCACAGCTGACATATTCCAAAAGTGAATAAGATGGCAAAGATAAATACAGATATAAAGCCAAATAGATTAGCTTGATGTATCATGTACAAAATCTTTAAGGTCAACATGTTTTTCATATAATATGCACATGCTCTTTACATGACAATACTGCACATATAGGTTCTCCACATATGGAGACTGTACATTATGTTTTTAAATGATATACTGCATATATATATATATATATGTTTTTATATGATATACTGCACATATACGCGACCAGGAGACCTGGTCTAGGACCTTGCCGTGGGGACACTAAGCCCCAAAATCATCTCAAGGTATAGATTCATATGATATACTGCATATATAGGTTTATAAGATATACTGCACATGTATGTTCTTTATATGACTTACATGCACTACACAAATATATAATATGTATGTACAAATCCACAAGGGCCTTGAGGGTTCAAACTTACGTACAGGATGTTCCCAGACGCGCCTTAGTCAACTGTACCACCCGTACACCTGTATGGGTGGTACAGTGGTACCACAACTGTACCACCCGTACACCTGTATATGTGGTACAGTGGTGGTACAACTGTACCACCCGCACGGGAACATCCCGAGCGTAAGTTCAAACCCTCATCAAGACCCTTGTGGGTTTGTTCATTTGATATATCACGCTATTGTGATAGCGTGATATATCACAATATGTGTGTATTGTGTTCTGTACTCACCTATTTGTGCTTGCGGGGGTTGAGCTCTGGCTCTTTGGTACCGAGATATTGGTTCTTTGTTTCTTTGGTTCAAGATATCTGTGTGTGTTCGTGTGTGTATTGTGTTCGTGCTTGTATGTGTTCTTGATATAAAAATTGTACATACGTTCTTTAGTTGATATAAATACATATGCTTTATACTCATCATTTGATACAAACATATTCCCATGTTAAACACCTTACAAAAAGTCACATTTCAATTAAAACAGCTTATAAATCAATAGATCAAATTAATAAATAAAACCTTAATAAACTTTACAATGAATAATTCATGCAAATCACAAACACAGCTACAAACAAGATATAATGCACAATAAAATATAATTAGCAAAACAAAATAAAAAACTAAATTAAGAATGATATTACAGAAACGACATGCAAAGTGCAGTGGCTAAAGAAAAAAAGGAAATAAGCGAACTTACCGCTTTATCATCCTCCTCCTCCTCCTCACTTCCTTCATCTGCCTGTTGCTGTTGTTGCTGTTGTTGCTGTTGCTGCTGCTGTTGCTCTGCTGAACGCTGAGCTCTCTTCTCAGGGTCTATTTCCTGAGGTCCGAGATGTAGGCATAATTTAAAACCAAATAAATCTAAAAAAATGATACCGAAAAAAGCACCTAGTTCAAAATTATTGAAAATATGAACTAAAAAAAAAAAAAAACTAAAGGTCAATAGAAAATGTAGAATGAGTACTTACATCTATATTCACCTTAACAACGCCTGTAGAACGTCTCTTAGGCTTTTTCCGTCTCTGTATTGCTGCTTGCGTGCCTTCTCTTGTCTGTGAGTTACGTTCACTTTCCTTATCTTCATCTGGAATTGTTTATATTTTCAAAATATATTAATTTTCTAATTCACAAGTAGTAAATGTAAACACAGTTTATGAGTAAAATTTTAGATTTAGTTATAAGGTGTTTTAAAAGTGGGAAAAAATATTTTCCAATTGAAGCCAATCATAAAAGGATTCATCAGCTTCTACTGTATATCGAGTATATCCCACAGAGCATGTATTGTAAGAAGTGCAAGGGTGCGTTCAGATGAGCATGTTGCTTGTAGTTGAGTGTGATTATATATGGTGGGTGGGATGGGGGTGAGCATATTGTTGGTAGTTGAGTGTAGGAATATTATGGTGGGTGGTTGGGGCGAGCATATGGTCTGCAATTATGTGCAAGTATATAGTATAGAAATTACCTTAATTACAGGATGAAAGCTATGCTCATATGTCCCATCTTCCCAGCCCTCTATCACATATGGGACTGAAACTACTGATGGTTTTGGTGTGTGTTTGGGGTGAGCATATGGTTGATATTTGAGTGTGGATATGTAGTAATTACCTAAGTGAAGTTACAGGATGAGAGCTATGCTCTTGGTGTCCCGTCTTCCCACTACTCTTTGTCGTTTAATGCTTTAAAACTACTGACGGTTTTTGCCTCCACCACCACCTTATTTAGTTTGTTCCAATCACCTACCAATCTGTTTGCAAAACAAAACTGTCTAATATTTTTTGGCACCTTTATTTCCTTAGCTTGATTCTGTGTCCTCTTGTTCCTGAAGTTCAGGAATCCTTTTGTCAATTTGGTCAATTCCTATTAGTATTTTGTAAGTGGTGATCAAATCACTTCTTTTTCTTCTATCTTCTAGTTTTGGCATGTATAACACCTTCAGCCTCTCGTCGTAACTCGAGTTTTTTTTAGTTCCGGAAGCCTTTTGTAACATGAGTTGCACCCTTTCCAGTTTATTTATGTCTCTTCTTGAGATTTGGGCACCATACAACTGCTGCAGATTCCAATTTTACTCTCTCAAAAGTCATGAAGAGTTTCTTTATAGTGTTGGAGTGAGCATATTGTTGGTGGTTGAGCACTGGTTGAACCTACTGTACTACTACTGTTAAAATTGTAACAATTGCTATTATTTGTACTGTCTTGTTCATTCAATCAGTATTATGTAATAATGGACATTGCTGTTTTAATTATAATATAATTTATAATTATAATGATCATTAAACATTATTACTTTTTCTTGTATAAATGAATAATATACTTGAAAATTTGAATACTAGGTTATTATAGTGCAACCTCAATTCAGCAAAACCAGCTTTGACAAAAGCTCTGGTTACAGCACACACTTCACAGGCCAGATAACTCACCTGCTTTGCCAAACATTTGTTCAGCAAAGTGGGTGATGTGCAGGTTTGCTTATGATGCAGGGCCAGAGTCCACAGACCCGTGCAAAACTTGATGGACCTGGTTCATTTACACCATTTTGGGGTCATAACACTATTAAAAAAAAATAAGATTAAGGGATTGCTGGACTGGTTGACCAGTCCAGCATCGAGGAGGCCTGGTCGAGGACCGGGCTGCGGGGACGCTAAGCCCCGGAATCATTGCAAGGTAAAGGGGCAGGTGCCTAAGAAATACTGGCAATAAGGATCAAATCTCTCTATAAGACAGGTTTTCCTGTTAGTTGTCCCTCATACGATAATTTAACATTTTCTTCAGTGTAATTAGCCCACACAGCAAGAGAAAAATTAGAGTATGAATAGTAATTCCTTTAAAATGCTCTGATCACATATTTAATTTGTTTTTTTTGTCAATGAATGTAACATTAGGAAAAAGAAGTACAGCAGAATATTTTGTTTATTGTCCAATTTAAAAAAAAAAAAAATGCATAATACAAATGCCTTCTAAAGGTATATGCAGTTGCAATAAATCAGACTTAGTTCAATATAGTATGCCAAGTGGAGGTTGCACTGCATATATATGTATAATTCTAATGATCAGTGTTAGCCTATTACTATTTATTTGCATAAATAATGTACAGTACAGTACTTGAAATTTGTTTAACTAAATTAATAATAAATCTATAAACTTTATGAATAAAATTGATTGCTTAATTGGTTGGTTGTGTAGGGTGAGTATGCTTAATTAAGCAGTGATGTTCAAGTTGTCAATTGGTGAGTTTGGTATGATTGGGAGTGTAAGAATGAAGGTATATAGCAAATGCGAATGAGAATAGAATAACATCATTAAACTTACCACCACCAGTCTCCGTGGTGTAGTGGTAAGACACTCGCCTACACCACACTCGTGGTGTAGTGGTAAGACACAAAGCGCTCGCGGCATGGGTTCATATTCTGGCCGGGGAGGATTTACTGGGCACAAATCCTTAACTGTAGCCTCTGTTTAACTCAACAGTAAAATGGGTACTTGGTTGTAAAAACGATTCTTTGCGGTGGGGATCGTATTCCAGGGACCTGCCCGAAACGCTAAGTTGTTATAAGAATGTAACAACTTTTGTATATATCTCAAAAAAAAAAATAAATAAATAAATAAATAATCAAAACGGTTGATGGTGGGGTGGTATATATTTTGGCTGACGACAAAATATATAAACAAGGGTGAGATATAGATACACAATAATTTTAACTTAGAAAATATTAAGAGGGCTGGCTCGAAATTTGCACATCGAAATAACTATTCACAAGATCAGGAAGGATGCAAGGAAATGTGAAATATTGAAAATTAGATGTGCAATAGATAAATTGCACCAAGATAAATTCTATCAACATTAAGGGAACAAAACTTTTCGACACTCCCCACCTAAACATAAAGGGCATAACTAGTCAATCTCTCATACTGTTTAAAAGAGAACTAGATGAACACTTCCAAAAGATACCTGATCAACCAGACTCATATGTCATATATGTCTGACATATATTCATGTCAGACTGCAAGTAGCAGTATCTAACATCTTGACTGACCAGATAATCAGCCAGGCCTAGTCATGGAGACACCGATTCCAGGAACCACAACAGATAATCAGGCAGGCAGGCAGGGGTCTGGAACAACATGATCCAAATTTTTGAGATGCCACTGTATTTGAAGTGACTACTGGGCGTATCTGGACCTGGATTGTATCTGGATGGGATTCAGGGAGATCTTATACTCCCCAAGCCTGGCTTGGGGCAGGCTTGAATCGTGAGAGCTCGGTCCAACAGGGTATTTGCTTGGAGCGGCCCGCAGGCCTACATATCCACCATCATGATCTCCCCTGATGTCAAGGAATATGTTTGTGGAAATTTAGTTCAGCTATGCCCATTTGTTATATGGTATTGATCAAGGTCATCCCTATCTCCCAGTGACATACTATACTGAATGGTTACAAAATGTCACCAGGGAGACCATATGATTCAATAACAATCAGCCTTTCTTAAACCACGATATCTAAATTATTATTATTATTATTGTTTTCTCCAGATATTATATGGGTATCATAAAAATATAAAAAAATAAGATATCCCAATTGGGTTACATAATGAATGAGGAGGAGGAACAAGCAGTAGTAAATGGGCAGGAAGACAGTGAAAGAATGAATTAGTAATACAATACTGTACTTAAATTCATCCGCAGCAACTTACCTCCTTTGTCTTCTGTATTCTTTTTCCGCAGCTGGACTGTGACTGTTTCAGTGTCATTTTCCACATCGGATTTGTCTTTTGTTCGCACATTTTCAAGGGAAAACTGTAAAATAATTATTCATTGATAATTTGAGTACATTATAAACTTTCTAATTACAATTACAATTAACTACAATTAAACTAATTACAATTATTCTGCCTGAAATGCTATGCGTGCTAGTGGCTTTACAAAAATGTAAAACTTCAAGTCTGTGTACTCTTATAAACCCAATGTACCTACTTGTATATAAATAAATAAATAAATAAAATAAATTAAATAAATAAAATTATAAAAGAATTTGTACATATATTTCATTTCAAAGTAATAAATAATACTGAAAGGAAGACATTGCACATTCCTTCACACTCACCATTTTCATGATAGGAACAATGCTTCCCCCTTACTCACATGGATTAAAAAGAAAGTTGTGTGTAGAAATTGACAAGAAACATTTCTAGTGGAACTTCGAATAACGAATTTAATCCGTTCCGGCGCCATGATCGTCATGTGAAACGGACGTCAGACAAAACGAATGCCCCCATTGACAATAATGGAAATCAAATTAATCCGTTCTACCACTGAAAAACATCAATATGATATTCAACGTTTTAAATAATGGAGCAGCCTACCTTACATACACTAAACAAACCTTTATGACATTTTTTTTCTTCAAATTTGTTAAAAAAAAAAATTAATTTTTTGTATAGCAAAAGGTTCATTCGGTGTTTGTCAGGTAGGCTGCTCCATGTTTCTTATAAAAAAAAAAAAAATGAATTTTGAAAAACAGAACAAATGTCAAAAAGGTTCGTTTGGTGTTCGGCAGGTAAGCTACTCCATGTTTCTTAAATAAAAAAAAATAAAAAATAAAAATAAAAAAAGTTGAAACAATTTGAAAAATGGACAAATGCCATAAAGGTTCGTTCAGTGTCTGTCAGATATGCTGCTCCATTATGACAACCTTTCTGTGTTTCAAATGTGTTCCATTTGTTTTGTATTTTTCATTTATTTCTCAATAATGAAGCAGCATACCCGACAAACACTGAACGAACCTTTATGGCATTTGTCCATTTTTCAAATTGTTTCAACTAGTTTTTTTTATTTTTCGCTTTTTTATTTAAGAAACATGGAGCAGCCTACCTGCCGAACACCGAACGAACCTTTTTGACATTTGTTCTGTTTTTCAAAATTCCAAATTTTTTCTTTTTCTTTTTTATAAGAAACATATAGCAGCCTACCTGACAAACACTGAATGAACCTTTTTGACATTTGTTCTTTCTTTAAAAAAGTTCATTTTGTTTTTCTACAAAAAGTCAATGCTTTGCAACATCCCAGCATCAATAGCATCTGTACACAAAGAAAAATAATTTATTTGCATCGTCGGAGGCATCCGAGAATGTGCGAGAAGCAGCCCCAGACACCACCCATGTGGTGTTGATATTATTCAAATGAGCGGTTGCCGAACGAGACGAATTGTCAGTGATCGGGGCGTTCATTACCCAAAATGGTCACCATTTGAGGCGGTCACTCGAGGTTCTACTGTATTTATATCTTTTTGTTGCGCATAAATACATATTTACTTACATCTAGTGATTTTTTTGGGTTAATTTTTTGCATTATATATCACTTAATGCCTAATGTATGTAATTTTATTTTAAATGATGTACTCTGTGAGTTCAGTAACCCAAATTCTGGTAACCAGAACACACTTGTGTTTGAGTAACAGATAAATGGTGGGAGTAACTGGGTAACTGGCAGGAGTGACCAGGTTAGGCAGTCAACTTGGCAGTGGCAGTCAATCAGGCAGTCAGTAAGCAGTGTGAATAACAAGGAAAACAGTGGGCATAATCAGGTAAATGGCAGGAGGAGATCTATGCGAGATCTATATCGCGTCTATGTGTGCCGTATATGTTCTCTGTATTCCCTCTATTTCAGCAATCTCTCCTGCTCTGAAGGGGGAAGTGAGTACTGAGCAGTACTCAAGACGGGACAACACAAGTGACTTGAAGAGTACAACCATTGTGATGGGATCCCTTGATTAGAAAGTTCTCATAATCCATCCTATCATTTTTCTGGCTGCCGCAATATTTTCTTGGTTATGCTCCCTAAGCGTTAGGGCGTCGAACACCCAGAGAGATAGGCGAAACAAAACGGACCACAATCTGGTGAAAATTGCAACCTACGTCCAAAAAGAGCAAAAGACCTTCCCCAGGCATTTTACTTTGAAAAAATTAGAGAGCTCAGAGCAGGCTACTTTAATGGCCTGAATGTCTATGGACTCTATGGATGTGTGTGAATGCATCTTATGATGGCATCAGAGACATGAATGTGTCTCTAGCATCAGTGTGAATGGATTCTTAGGCCTACCGGGGGACCATGAGCCAGAACCTGGCCCCCTCAGAGAGGCACAAGGAAGGGAACTATCAGGGGGAAAGCGCCAAGTCATTACAACTATATAGCACTTGGAAGGGGTCAGGATAAGGATTTGGGATGGGAAGGGGGGAAGGAATGGTGCCCAACCACTTGTACGGTTTGGGATTGAACGCCGACCTGCATGAAGCGAGACCGTTGCTCTACCATCCAGCCCAAGTGGCTGGGTAGAGGCACAAGGAGCAATGGCCTATAGAAACCCCCCATGTGGTTGGAAGCTTTCTATGTCTGTCATCGACTGGATCAGGTACCCAGAAAGGAAAGCATCCCAAAACAAACCCCTATTCTGGTTAAGAAATTGCTACTGAAAGCCAAACTATTGGACAAAACTCCTCCAACAAAAACGAGCATGCTGTCACACGTCGCGGTCTGCACAGCTCCTCCCTGCCCAGGATGGGGAAGGGGAAGCCCGAGACCCCTCGCACCGGCTACCCAAAACAACCCCGGACCTACTTGCCAAAATATGAAAAGAAGAGGGACTTACACCCGGCGGTCGTTGCTCGCCCCTCAATGTGAAGTCGAGACAACTGGCATCAACCGCCGACCTAAAGCAACACAGGCCCGCCTAGGCCCCAGAACACTGACCAGGTAATGCGCAGCCAAAACCCTGTTCAACCGCCAACAACCCCGTGCCAGAATGTCAGCCCACGACATGTTACCAAAGACGGCAGCAAGCTCAGCAAACTTATGAACGTCGTGGGCACAGAGATAGACTGCAGGCTGGCTGGACCAAATAACACTGCAGATGACCTGGGAGACCTGAACCCTGGAACAGGGAAGAAGGAAAACTGGATCAACCCAAAGCGCGTGACCAGTCACAGAGGCCATGGCGCGCAAATAACGGCAGAGCCGCAACCGGACACAACACATGATGCAACCCCAGCCTATCCAACCAAGCATCAATAACCCTGGGACCCCTCCAGAAAGCAGCTGTCTCATTCTTCACCAGAAAAAAGGAGACAGCTGCAACTGAACAAACCTATCATCACTAGGTACAAAGCTGAAGACAAATCAGGAGTCAGAGCACACAACTTCCGCCTATCAAATCAGTCTCATACCTGGGGTTTTGGGTAGCCGGAGCGAGGGGTCTTGGGCTCCTGCATCTCCCTTCCAGAGAGGGAAAAGCTGTGCAGACGGCGGCGTGACGACATGGTGACGTCATGCTCGTTTTTATGGGGGGGGGGGGCTATCCACTAGTTCGGCTTTCATGAGCAATTTCTTAACCAGAACAGGGTTTTGTTTTGGGATGCTTATCTTTCTGAGTGCCCGACCCTGTCGATGGCAGACATAGAATGCTTCCAACCACATGGGGGGTTTCTATGGGCCATTGCTCCTCATGTGTCTCTGAGGGGGGGCCAGGTTATGGCTTATGGTCCTTGGTAAGCCTAAGAACTCCATTCACACTGATGCTGCAAAAGTCTAACATAACCATATCAGCCTGGATAAGCTCCTTGAAGCCGTAGGGGCTCCTGATGGCCGCGATAAGCTGCCCAGCACCACACAAGGCCAGAGGGGGCCTGGGACATTCACGAGATACCTGGCGGTCAGGACCCTGTTCGACCTCCAAAACCCCTGCGCCCAAATGTCGACCCAAGACATAATACCAAAGACCGCTGCAAGAGCAGTGGTCACCTCACCGCTGTGGTGAGGGCCACCTCACATCACGCAGACTGCAGGCTGGCTAGACTTAAGCAGACAACCTAAGACACATGAACCCTGGAACCAGAGAAACCAGAACCACCCAGAGTATGTGCACCGTCACTGAACCAGTGGCCCGCAGGTAGCAACGTAAAGCTGCCACGGGACACATCACATAATGCAACTCCAGCCTAACCAATCAAGCCTCCATAACCAACGGATCCCTCTGGAAGCCCACCGTCTCAAGCCCATTTCTTTCTTCGGCAGAAAAGAACGAGAAGGCTACACAAAAACAAAACAAACGTAACCCCTGGTGCTGGTGAGGTGCATGAAGCTCGCAACCCGGCTCGCCAGAAGCCAAAGCCAACAAAAACAAGGCTTTCTCAAAGCCTTCCGAACCGAAAGGGCCACAACAAACCGAGGAGAAGAAAGAAAGGAAAGAACCCGTCCAAAGACCTAGATGACTCAGGTAGCATATGAGCAGCCCAGAAGTGAAAAAACGCACAAGAGCGCTTGCAGAATGGAGCGCAAGTGACATCCACCCCAAACCCATGCTGCAGTGGCTCCACCAACACTGCACGATATGAAGTGACAGTATTTGGCATAAGATGCTGTCCAGGAAAAGCCAAGAGAGAAAGGACAAGACAACCTGTCCGACACTGACAAAACCCTATGGAGAGAGGAAATGGCGGAAAGCCTTCTAAGAAATGTCATACTGTTGAGGAGAAGACGACTGCAGGCGGCACACCATCAAAGAAGCCACCTGATCACCATACAAATGACTATACACCTGCACTGGAAAAGCCAGACACGTAGAGTGGAAGAGAAAGTCGATTTGGCCTGATCTGCCGAAAGAGGTGGAGCGGCAGAAAAACGCCCGGGTTCAGACACTGAGCAAGTAGCACCTGAAACCAAGGCTAGGCCGGCCACCATGGAACCAAGAGAGCACCCTTCCCCGATAGGATTCCAGCCAAGGAAAGAGGTACAGGAACCCCCAC